AATGGGACTCAGATTTTCAGTCATAGCTTTTCTCGGAAAGAAAGCTTCAATAGGAGAGAAAAATTGCTCTAAAAGCCATAGTCTTATTTCTAAATATTCATTCAAGGAGAGAAAAAGAAATGTGGTTTACCTGACTGGGCTACACCTTCTTAATCGCACTCATTTCAATGGTACCGTTCCAGGTTACCGTTTATTTGTCGAGATGCGGTCTACAGCCAAACTCGGAAATGATTGCCAAAGGGTATCCAGATATCGGATGGGATCCGGTTGAAGGGGAACGGTAAGCTTTGCGAATTCACAACTGTTTCTTCTTCATACTTCTAAACTGCTCAAGACACCAGTTGATTCGGCTAGATCAGACCCCGCTTAGGGATTGCACTGCGAACACAACAAGATGGTGCAACCGGCAACTTTGTTTGTAGTTACACTGCACACCTAAAGTTTTATTCTTAGAATTCATTATGACCTTTCTATATAAGGGGTCATACCCTTACCGTGGAACTTCAAGACTGGAGTATGGCAAGCTTAGTGATTGTCCACATAAGCCACTACCAAGTGCGGTTCCTATCCTAAGTGCAAGGTAGCAGAAGTTGGTTGGTGCCGGTGCTGTTCCCTCATGTCCTACAGGGGTGATGTAATGCCTAGCCCAGCCGCATTGACTCGAGACAGTTTGCATGAAAGAACTGTACAGCACTGTTCTGTACTGTCTCGTACGAACTGTACAGCACTGTTCTGTACTGTGCCGTACCTACGGTTCGAAAAATAACGTTTTGACCAGAACATTTTTCATTTTTGAAGAATTTCATAAATGAAAGTCTTCCAATCTGTTCAATTGATCCTCGGATTTGACTTTTCAGGTATATCGACTTCCTCCGTTTCTGCGTCTGGATCAATGGCGAAAACGTTGAGGAGAACGCTAACCTAGTGATTCGACTGCTCATTCGTCGTCCAGAATGTCTTGGCATAGCTCTTAAGGGAGAAGGCCAAGGTCTATTCGCAGCATTTAAGGTGAAGAGTTTTCATTTTTAAGTCAGTAGCCAATTTCAAGAGCCCCACCCTTCATGCTTCTGCTTTTGCAACGTCCTCTATCGTTTAGGAGGCTATCGCTTTGTCTGAGGATATTCGTGTGCTCGAGGAAGACGGCGATGCGGCTACAATGCTTAAATGTGGTCTGCTAGGAGATTCACCGTAGGTTTTTAAGTCAATCTGGAGGTATCGAAATATTAGGCCGTCTTATTTGAGCATATGTCTGTTGAAGGACCTATCCATC